AACCGTGGATTTGTCCAACTCGTGATGTTGTCCAGGTACACATATGGTTTGAATACATCATGCGTGAATTCTGCTTTTTTGACGTAATAAATGCTCACCAGAAGTAAAACAACAGCAAACACGAAGATAATCGATGCATGTTTGTTCACGGCTTTCATTGTGTTCGCAATGACCTGCTTTCAAAACGGGTTTAGAAGTAAAAGCAGACGGGGTCATTACAAATGTATCAATCAGTATTTACCTTATCAAGGTAAACCAACCATTTCTTTTCTACTGTCACATGAAGCTGATTGGTGCATCCATGCGCATACGTCAATTTTATTTTTGATGTAAGACTTACTTGTTCGCTAAAGTTTACTTGAATGACCTCAGAATTTGATGGGTCAATTACATCTGTCAATGGTTAATCTTCTGACTTGAAACGCTCGATCGCTTGGTACTCATTCAGGAGGTGGCTGGAACGCATTCTGTTCACATATAACTTACAAACAGAAAGTATCAGAGGGGACACGGGTTAGAAACAACTTACGAAATGTCTTTATCGCAAGATTTCTAAAATTTCTGTTCATGTCACAGCCGAAAATTCACGCTTACGATTCACACGTTTAGAATATACGAAATGATGGAATAGTGATGATTTGAAACTGTTTTGTTTACTTGGTGAATAAAGAACGGAGACGTCTGATCATGGATAAGTGAATTTGTTTCACCTAAAAGAAACTTGAATACGACAAACAAACCCTGGTAAAGCTTTACAGGAATCTTAAGTAAAAAGAAAATCTCCAGTGGGATTTTCATGCTCCCACTACAGTACAACTATACATCATCAGTGCATAATGTTCCCAGTAAATTTGAGCAAAGTATTTTGAGGACCTCAACACGTCTTTCTGTACGCTGAAAGGGGTATCCGTTTGCACATGCAAAAGGCTGTGAAAATCTGTAAAGTGCAGTTCCAAACGATATGGAGGTTTGTACATTTTTAAGATTAAACAATTCCATCATGCCAATTGTTAGAAAATCCTTCATGATGGTCCGAACAAAACTTCTTATCTCCATACAGTGCTATGTATTGCAGGGGAATTTCATCTATAACGCTAACGAATAGCAGTCATGCATTCTCACTCAAGGGGTATTTCAAGTTAATAATGATTAATTTCCGATTTGCACATGGCGACATATAGGTTCAGTGGATTCGCCTGTTGATCAGACTAAACCAGATCAAACTAGGTGTCTCTAGCTTTGTAACTTATTAATTTACGTTTTATTTTATCTTTAAACGACGATATGCGCCATATGAACCGACCAAATACTCCGTTTTTTCTCATGTAACCTTCTATTTATTTATTTTCTATTTATGTGCAGTAACACACCAGCTCAAACATTCGTCGTCGACTGCTGACGGTAGATGTTCTTCGTTAGGTCATGGAACATGAAGGAAATCCAGCTTATAAAAATCCTCACCTCACGTAAAAAGGCCAACCGTCATCCCATATTTTTCCGTATTTGCTAGTATAGTGCGAAAACACCCATGCGTTTCTCATCATCAACCAGTTAGTTCACCTTATGTGTGCCTCGGTACTTTTCGCCACTAGCATCAATTACAGTTCACTGAGTAAAGAGAACAAGTTGAAGGATCATTGAAAACACACTGGACCAGTTTTCACGTCCTAACAGTTTTCAGCGCATTTGAGAGTTTGCCAGGTACATAGAACATTGCGATCAATATCCTTTACGCCACAACCTCGGGATTGGAAGCTTACAAGATCTACATGATTTAATTCCAGTAACATCACAGATACACAGCGGAAAGAAGCGCCCTTTAACGGTGAGAATATCGTTATCTGTACAGCTCAGACGACTTTCATTAGATTAGTATGAGTTAAGTGAATAACCAATTTACTTTAGTCACATGAAGTTGGAAGACGGTTTGTAAACAATGGACGCGTATTAGTCTCAGCGGAAGTCAAAGATTTCTAGTTTTGAACGTGGTTGAAACTTTATATATTATACACAAAACCTCCGAACCTCTCACGCGATGTGTCTCATGAAATCAGTTATCCTATACTACATTGTACGAAATTCTGCGATTGCTCGTGGAAGTGTGTACTGATTGTCCATGGACACGTGTAGCTTGGACCTCGAGAAATGCTGATATATGCCAAAAAGTCAGGGGAGGAAGCCCTGATCAATTCCTCCACACACTGAATGCATTCCACGGTCGACTCCGTGTTAAGTCCGTATGATCTGATGACCTAATCTTGGTCACTATTATATTTCAGCCCTCCCACTCCACACGGTTACCATGCGGGTCAAGCTTTGGCTAACCGATTATTCGGGTGTGAATGTGCTAGCAAAGGTTACCCGCTCCCACCTGGGCAGGCTGGAAACAATCAGCTCTCGTGCAAATCATGGGCCCATTGTTTTGCTATAAATATTACTTTCTTTCTTTCTTTTGTATTGTGTGTAAACGCAGATGTGTTTGAGGTCTAGCACTTCAACTTGACGAAATTGAAGTAAAATTTGCAAACTTCAGTCGGGAGTTTTGATGAGCCCGAGTGTGAGCTGGTCAGCAGAGTGATATCCGAAATCTTCCACTTAGGATAACTGGTATTGAACTCTCGGAACCGAGTGATAGACCGTCAGCACCGTGGGTGGTGTGACGGGCAAAACTGAAATCAACGGCATCTCGTGATCGTTTGACTGTTTGAACATATATGAAAATAAGCCCGATGACTTTGTCTGAGAGAACCCGAGTCTATGTGGGAAAAGAGATGATGACATCACAACATAAAGAACAGTGGAATGTGTGCAGAAAAAATGTAATTCATTAGTGGCATCTACCGAACTATTTTGACTCAGATTTTAGCGTTCGAACGATCATTTCATCGGTTCGTATTTTGTCATCGTACTTCGTTGAGAATTTTCTAGCTGTAACTATCTTTATCTGATTACACGATGACAGATTTGAGAGACAAGCTAGACGTGATTACTAGTGGTCACTTACTTCAGTATAGTATTTTTTCATTAATTTTACGGCATACAACCGCTGAAATGTACATGAATCACTCATAGACGTTTGCATAGAAATAAAAAAGACAGTTGATCAATATGTAATTTATGACGAATGAATACTTACGGTGCGAATATACGCATATAGTGTACAGCATATGTTCAGGATGTTTGAGGGTTATTCTAAAATCGGAGTTGTATGATATAACACCACATGTGACATAGCTAATACACAAACATTCTGGAAGCAGAAATATTGAGGAGTTACTAAAAAATAATACGTCTAGTCTACTACGAATCTCCGAGTCATTGTTGAACGTTTGAAGAACTACTATCCTTGACAAAACTGAACAAACGAAATTCTTTTATTTCTGAGATGAATATATTCAACTTCAGCAAAAAATGTGAGATATACTTTTCCGATTAAGACATATCATTCGAAATCTGTGCTTTAGCCTCACAAGCCGTACACGAAATAAGAAAACCTCAGGGATATTTTATTATGTCTCTCCCTGAGGCACGAAGTAATACTCGAACAGTTCACAGAACTTGGTTAGTGTATTTTCGGATAATAAAGTATTGACGAAAAGAGAGCCTCTGCTTCTGGGTTCAACATCGATTCATTAAACGTTACTGCGCTCCCATTTACCACTCAAATATTTCGATTGTGAACATGGCAACCGGGAACATTGTGAACTCATCACGGTGAAAGAACTTTTTTAAATTGTATAAATTCAAGGTAAACTCAATGACCGAAAGATTTAGTGTAATTCATCCTGCGATTTCATAATAGGCTGCTGAATGTATCAACAAATGTAGCAACAGTCCCATCCAATGAGAGCACGAGTGGAGGAAAATAAGAGGGTCGTCCTTCTCTATGGTGTCCCGCAGTTGAACGATCAGGATGAACCAAAAGGTCATCAGAACGACCAAAAGGAATGGCGATTCATTCAAAATCTTCTTGAGTGAAGCAACGTTTTGACAACTTCAATCAGTCGTCTTCTCTGTTCAACACATTACCGTGGTAACGGTCCGAGGATAATGAAAGTTACCCTTGGAACTCCAGAAATGGCGAACACAGTCTTACAATTATGGCGGGGAAGAAANACATTACCGTGGTAAC